ATGAATATTAATCTAGTTAACTCAGCAGGTATTGGTTGGGTGACATTTCGCGTTTCGCCATTCAACTCAGAATTCAATTTTTCATTAGAAAAAGTTTATCCGCGGGTGTGATATTTAATTTAAAAAAGTCTCTGCATTTTAGGGACTACCTAATAGAGAGACTGCTGCGTAGTAATAAACTTATTGTATAAAACATAAATGACATTTATGATATTATTTACATTCAGTCAAAAGAAATTGTATGTAGTATTCCAAAGTTTTAGTTAACATTAATAGATATTTAACATTAACTTCGTTTCCTCTTGGATCATCTTGCAGTATTTTCATTTTAATGCCTTGTAAGGCATCATAATAAAAGTATTTGCTATAAAAACTGTTTAATCGAACATATGGACTGTATGTCTCAAAAAAAAGTTGGTGAATTTACTTACTTTCCTGATATAATTATTCGAGCATTTGAGTATTGTGCTATATCCAGGTCTCTTTGAAGGCAAATTTTAAAATTAAAAATCAACCCGCTATCCTTGCCAAAATCATGTTGGCTATAATGGTAAAATGTTTATTTAGTGGATTAGAGTTTTTAGTAAAAATGATTTCAATTAGTCATTTAGGTTCTTAAACAATGCAAAACAATTATTGAAACATTTAACAATCAACCAAATGGAAAACTGTTGTCAATTATTATTTATGGAAATAGAGTAAATCAAAAGTTTTTTAAAATGATGTATAAAATCGAAGAAAAATTTTGTTGCTGAGATAATGAAAACACATTTTTGTTGTTTGATTATGTTCATGTCATGAAGTGTGTTCGTAATAATTGGTTAACTGAAAAAAATGGAGAACTAACTTTTAAGTTTGAAGGTAACAAATATGTAGCTAAATGCAGTGATTTAGTCAATCTTCATGAGATGCAACCTGCTAATCTTTCAAAACTTAGCAAATTAAATGAAATTTCCATCTCTCCAAAATCAATCGAGCGACAGAAAGTTGACATTTGTTTACGAGTTTTCTGTGATGAAACGATTGCTGCATTCAAAAAGCATCCATCTATTAAAAAAGATGAAGTTATTGGCACCATCAAATTTAATTTTATATTTGTGAAGTTTTAGAAAATTTGTAACGTGAAAGATGTTGGAGGAGCAGATGAGTACCTCACAGTTATAAGATCACACAAAGACAAAAGCCCGCTATTTTTATTAGATGTGGCAAATATAGTTGAAAGAATAAAAAAGTCAGGCGCAAAACGTATTAAGCAGCTTACAAAAGATACCTCTGAATGTATTTCTCATGTGTATAGGGGGTAAGTCGACATTGCAAGATATCTTCTGAAATGTGGAAATGATTATGTTATTCTAGGGTGGTTCACAACTAATCCATTAGAGAAAACGTTTAACCATCTTTGCCAGAGTACTAAAGGAACCTATTTTATTGCTGCTCAATCTGTCATAGAAAAGTTTAGAATCCAACATGCAAAACTTTCCTTAAAGTTAGAAATAGTACAAAATTTTTGATAACTTGCCATATTTTGAGGATAAAGCTCAAGCAGAATCATTACTTTCAATTATATATATTAGGGGTTATGTTCAAAGAAAAAATGGCTATGATTATACTGATACACAATTTTATTATAAAAAATGTGGTGCCTACATTGATGAATTGAAAACAAGAGGACTTGTTATTCCCTTCGACAATATTGTTCAAAGGTGCATATTTTGTTTCGTTTTATTTGAGCAGTTATCAGATGAATTTTGTCGAATATTTTTGATAAAGCAATTTAAGTATTTATGACCGACATTACCGCACTATAGAAAACACTCTCTAGCAATAATAAAATCTCCAAGATGCTCCAAGAGTACAGGAAAAAGTTTTAGAACTGTCATGAAAATGAGTTTTTATTTAAATTTTATTATATTATATAAGAAGTATATTATAGTTTAACTTTATCGTACTTTTACGTTTAAGATATCCGCATCTTCTTTACTTATTACGCTTCTCTCGGCCTCCAGTCAATAAAAATTTCCTGTATTTCTAGAAGGCCATGCTTGAAAACCGATATGCTAAAGTTGACCAAAAAAATATTGAACAGCTCATAAAATATAAACTTTCGAAATCGGGTGACATAAAGTTTGAGGGTTTAAATAAATGCATTGAGGCTCAAACTTTAGAAAACATTGCAAAAGATGAAGAAGATTTGCAAAGTGACGAAGAAGTTAAAAAGGTTATAAAAAATCTTGCAAATCATACAGCAAATGAAAAGATGAAACTTGTTAATCAGTTGGAAAAAATGAAACGCTTGTATCGAAGATATGCAGAACATTTCATAGGTTTAGACGCAACGTATAAAACAAAAAAATACGCTTAGCCTCTGTTTTTTTTGGTTGTGAGAACTAATATTAATCAGCCATGATCACAAAAGCTTTGTTGTTCATAAAATTACTGAATCCTGATATACAGCCTAAATATGCAATCGTTGATTTTGATGAAGAAGAGATTTCTTCCATAGACTTAGTTTTCCCCATAATTAAAGTGAATTTGGGTGATTTTTATCGAGAGCAATCTCGGCACCGTAGGATTTCAACGTTAGATAATGGGGTGCAACATATTGCCCAGCAAATAGAAGTATATTTGCACCGTATAGCAAATTCTGTAAAAGTCGAAAGTTCTCAAAAAGCTACGTCTGCTTTCTTATCTTGGAAATTCTGTAAAGACAAACTCCTGAAACGGTAATTTTGCTTTTGTGTAAATAATATAATAATTGAAATAACCAAAGTTTAACAAGGTGTTGCGGTTAAATATTAAATATTTTACTATGTATTGTTGTTAAAAGGAGGTATACTTACTTTTTCATCTTAAACTGAAGGTTTTAATTTATTTATTATTTTATGCAACGTTTTGTAGTATAGTGTGTTTGAACTTAAAATAAATATTATGTTACATAATTACAATAACTATTTACATATTATAGGTTACATTATTAGATTAACTATTTTTAACTAAGTTTTATGGGAAATGGTTACCAGAGATGCAAAGATGTTAGACCTGACGAAATGAAGTTTAATAACACCAACAATAGGACAGAGCATATTAAATGAAGATTTAAAATACAATGACCTTTCAAACTATAAATACTGCTCACTAAGTTAAATGCTTACCATCGTTATTGAAAACTTTATACCAAAGCATTGATGTCGACACGTAGAGTTAAATGTATGGTACGGAGAAGATTATAAAAAATGTAAAGATGGAGTGCCATTCTATTTCAGAAAACAATTCCTAAAGATTTTATTAAAAAACGATAGCAAAGTAACGTCTCCAATGTTAAAATCAGTTAAAGGAATAGATCCGATAACATTCGTGGTCAACAGTTCCAATCTTAAAACTAATGATAAATATATAGTGTGCTTAGGTAATGAGGATAAATTTTGTTCCTATTCTTGTTCAGGTTATCGTCGAAAATTATTTGTAAACACTTTTTTGCTGTGTTTACAAATTAAATTTTCTTAATCATAATTGGTCTCCCTAGTAGCAAACAATATTGGCGTAATATTGGCACGATATTGGGTATCTTGGCTAATCTTGGCCAAAATATCCGATATTGTGCCAATATTGTCAAGCAATATTACGCCAATATTGTCTTACCAATATTGGCAAACAATATTGCGCCAATATTGTCTTACCAATATTGGCAAACAATATTGCGCCAATATTATTCATTATAGTTTTACTGATATTGTTATGCCAATATTGGCGAAATATTGTTTGCCAATATTGGCTTTATATTAAATTTTACATATTGGTACGCATGCGTAACATTAAAGGAAATTCATAATGTCCTTTAGTTTTGTTAAATGTGTTAAAATGTAAATAATAGCAACTTTTTACATAAACAGGCATTCTTATGATATTAATTTTTTTACAAAACAAATAAGAGTTCAAAATAAAAATTTTAATTTGTGAAAAGAGAAGAAGTAGGAAAAGTATTTTTAATTCAACATTTACAGAGTGAATCAGGAGAAGAAGTGTTGGTAATTTATTTTGAAAGAGATAGTATCACGAAATGAAGTAATGAGAGTTATAAAATTCTTTTATTCAACATTAAGAATAGAATTACGAGAAGAAGTGGTTGTAATTAATTTAAAACATATTGCATCACGAGAAGAATAGGAAAAATATTGCTATACTCAAGTATCAAGATTAAAATAGAAAGTTTACTCTTAAATAAAAATACTTTGAGAAGATTTCATCTATAAAATATAAGTTTTATAGTCTATTTATTTTATTAAAAATATTCGTTTAAGAAATAAATACGTCATTATTATTGTTTCTAACAGTTATAAGATATTAATTTACGAAAAAGGTACCCCTGCTTGACACATATAACATCAATAATATATATATATATATATATATATATATATATATATATATATATATATATATATATATATATATATATATATGTATATATATATACACACACATATATATATATATATTTATACATATGCATATATATATATATATATATATATATATATATATATATATATATATATATATATATATATATATATATATATATATATATATATATATATATATATATATATATATATATTAGGGTGTTCCAAAAAAATGACTTTTTTGAATTTCAACTAACATTGTTTTTCATAAGGTGCCCCAACCTTGATATTACTAATAAATTTTTTTTTTTTTCATGATTAGATCACTCCATGACTTCCCTCAATGAGCCCAAAGGTCATTTTTTGCCCGTTTTTTGCCCATATTTCGGACTAGCTGAGGGGAGTGTTACCATTATCCAAATTAATTTTTCTTTCTTTTTTTTTGTTGTTTTATATTTTTGAAGGAAATAAAAATATAATGTTAAGCTTAATTTTATTTTTTTTACTTAAACAATGAAGACCAAAAAATTAAAAAAAAGGCATTTTTAAGCTTTTTTGCACTATATTAGTGTTCTGCTTATTAACAAGATACTTTACGTATTAAAATATTTATATTTACATAATAAAATCATATTTATGATTAGTTTCTGAAGAAATTAGTTGTCAAACATAGTTCATGTTTATAAATTTATTTTGTAAACAAAGAATTCTTTACATAATCACATTTTTTTATAATTGTTCTTTCACTCTTATATTTGTTTGATACGAGGAAGGTACTTTGTCTTTTATCCTCATTATGCGATTTATTGATCAACTCCTATTAAAGAATATTTAAAAGTAATGAGCTTGTAAAATAAATTAAGATTTTAACATAAACATTAAGGACCAAACATATAAAATAGTTACCTGAACTAGTTTTATAGCCCTCTCACTACAGTCATTTACTACTTCAAGATTATTCACAAATTTTTTGAATTCTAAGTAATAGTCATTTAGATCCCATGTCTCAGATGGAGTCTTAAGCCACTGTACTTCAGCATTTGCATGGTTTAAGATATGAAAAATTAACCAACTCTGGTCAGTTTTAAGCGGGGTCAAACTTGGGGGAGTATCATCATTAAACATAAGGGAGTTCAGTATATTTAAATTAACTTGATGTTTTTCTATGGCATAAGTTGTAGGTCTTGGGGTTGAGTACAACTTCTGGGCAATGTCACTCCGTTCTTGTACATTTTTGTCAACAAGAGACATAACTAAAATATTTGGGTCTATGTACCAGGTGTGTCTCTTTAGAGACTCTATAACAGGTTTTGCCTGGACAGGATTGATTTTTGAGTATCTCATCATCTGCCAAAGAGCTTTCATATCCTAAAGATTTTTAGACTATGAAATATTACACAAAATTTTCAAAGAAAAAAAAGTAATAAAAAGCAAAATGATTAAAAACTTTTAAAACATAGAAATGTCACCTGATATGGAGCGACAGCCGGAATTTCAGCCTTTATAAACCACTCAGTGTAAAATACAGCTGTGAAGAATGCCACATCATTTATTTCTTTCTTCTCAAAATCTGTCAAGCTAGAAATGTTGTTTAGAAGGAGATACATTTTCAGAAAGTATATTCCCTTTGCCATAAATCTGGCATGGTGTACAGGCCCAGGTTTTCTTAGCCTGTACCGTTCATCACCAGATAAAACCATTGTTGTCAATTCCACTAACTCTAGATAATCAGACCTACATCCATCCTAAATAAGATTATTTATTTAGACACAAAACAGTACCTTACTAAACTTATTTTATTATAGAGTATTCACTTTATTCAAAATTTTAAATAGCTTTTTTATTGTTTTCATTCATCATTTCAACATTTATCTATGTGATGACGACAGTTTACTATTGAGTTGAAAAAGTTATTATTTTTAAAAAAATTCAATTTTGTGTAAATACTAGTAAGTTCAAATAATTCATCATCTCATAAAAATAGGTTCTGCAGTTATTTATTAGTTATCAAGCTTAGTTTTATAATTTTTTTTGTCAGGGGTATGTATGGTGGGTTTAAAAATGTTGAAACATAATGCGGATTTCTTTATTACTCTTCTACTAAAAATAAAATCTGTTCTTTTTATTGATATTAAAAAGTGTGATTTTGGTTGATATATCTAGATGAATTTTGTTTGATAATTTGTTTTTAAATGGTATTCGAAACAAGATTTACAGAAGTAAATCATTTCTAATTTATATTTAAATCTAAATTTTGAGTTAGCAAATAAATAAAACTTTTTATCCACTGATAAGTAAATAAATAGTTTAAAATAATAGTTAATTAAATCTTCTGTATATTTATGAGTAACCTTTATTATTATGTAACGTACCTGTAACTTTTTTCTATAACATTATATTTAAAAGTAATTGTATTGCTTTGATAAATAAGTAATATTTTAGCTCATTAAATTTATTGACGTCAATTCAGGTATGATGTTAAGTTGATTTAAAATTTTTTTTTTTTTTCATTTGATTTATAAAAAAATTGTTTAAATAAAATGCTTAATGAACAAATTTATGATTGGTATTTAACGTTAAACGATACATCTTGCAATGCAGTATATTGTATATTCTGCGCTAACGTTAATGTTTAGCTTCTCTGGTTTGAAAAACAGTTACCCACAAAGATAACTAGATTAGTTGATAATGTAAGAAAGTTAAAGAAACAACGGAAAAATAAAATATTAGATGTAAAAAATGCTTTACAAAATAAAAACAACTACATTGATAAAAACAATATGAAAAGTCTTGTAAGTTTAGAAGAAGAAGTTGCAACATTATATACTAAGACAAATGTTTTAAGAAAAAAAAACGAAGAAACTCATAAGTTGGTTTTATTGTTAGATGATGAGGAAATAATAACTTTTTAAGATAGTAGATACTGTGATGACATTCGGGAAACCATCATGAAATTGCTTTCAATGAATGTAAGTATGAATAGTGTCAACAATATCATTAAAGTAGTTCTAAGCAAACTAGCAAAAAAGAATGTATCACCTGCTGTTAAAAGTTTAATGCAGGAAGTTGCAATTTTAGGTCAGTTTTAAGTTGCTGAAGCAATGCTTGAAAATAATCTGACAGATAAAAACTTTAATGTTAAAAATTGATTGCATGGTGATGGTACTCAGAAATACCATAAACATTATCAAAACTTTCAAATTACAACAAAAAGTGGGAAAACATTTTTTTGTTTTTCGTTTTTCTAGAAGTGATTGGTGGTGATGCAGCTACTATCTTGCTAAGCTTTACTAACATAATAGACGGTATTTGTGACGTTGTTAGCAAATCTGCTATGAAAAAAGAACTCCAGAAGTCTCATTCAAAAGAACACGAAAAGAATTAACAGAAGATGATAACCGAATCATATACAAGTACCTATCATCAGTTACATTTTTCAGATGAACCTATATTAAAACTCAGTTTATGTTAACTTTAGAAAATCAACCAGAGTTAGATAATCTTGTAAAGCGATTTGGAGTTCAATCGATGAAAGTAAAAATGAGAACCGAACGGCAAAAGAATGTTTAAAACATTATAAAATATTTGTTTTGGGAAAAACTTTTAAACATAATACTAACTTGAGAGCATATTTTTTGAGAAGTTTTTGATAAGTGCGTATAGTGTATAATGGTTTTTTTTGTATGTTTTAATTTTTTTCAAAGTTCTCTATTTATAGAAGTTAAAAAAGTGCATTTGGTAGTTTATTTTATTCTAAAGTTTGGTAAAGTAAGAATTGCATTTTAAAAGTTTTTTAAATGATAATTTCTTTTGATTTTAGCTTATTATCAAGTTTTTTTAAGTTATAAATTTAGAATAACAGAATAGCTGAATAAAAATTAGCTAGCAAAGTAACAAGATGTTACAGTACCAATTATGTAATCAAAATCTTCGACTTTTTTATCATAATGTGCGAGTTGTAAGGATGTATTTTGTTGTTATTTTTTAGAATTTTTTTTATCAACATAGACATTTTTTAAAAAGTAGAAGAGTTAAACTTCATTTTTGAATTTTTTTTTTTAATAACAACCGCTTTAATTTAATTATTTTTTCTTAAAAACTTCGTTGTTGATCAGACATCGAATTGAGGATATGTTGAGAAAAATCGAATAGTATACAATCAGTATCTGAAATTATTTCGTATTACTGGCCAACCAAAAAAGAAATTGGAGAATCTACGGTAAAGGCTTTCATTAAAATTTTGGTGGAAATACAGAATCTTTGTTAAGGAAAATGCGGTTGGAATCTGATCATTTACTTTTAATTTTTTGTCATTTATTTAGATTGAGAAAGTTTAGATTTAGATTGAGAAAAATAATTTATTAAATTATTTGTTAGATTTTTGAAATATAAACATAGTTTGTGAAGGAATTAAGCCAGAAAAGTTACCACCCTTAGATTGTGCTGCTTATTTTCATGGTCTTTGAGTTTATCTCCAGGTTATTGAATGAAAAATGCTAGATGAATCTTCCAACTTAGATCCAAAAGAATGGAGATGGGAATTAGATAATAGTTGTCGTTAAAAGTGATTCGCTGTGATTTTAAAACTTTGTTAAGAAATATGTGCGGAACTAATATGTGTTTTTGCAGGAAAAACGGATTAAATATATGTCTGCATGTGGTAGCTGTCACTGGCAAGACTGCAGTAATAAAACAGAATATTTTCTTTTTCCAATATATTTATACGCACATAATCTTTTTAAAATATATTAGTTGTTTTTGTGATACGATTATTTTACATTTAAAGGATTTTGAAATCGAAGAAGATTCAAGTGATGAAGTTGAAAATGAGAGAAATTTATTTAATGATTTGTTTTGAAAAAAGTAAACTTTCGGACATCGACATTTTAAAGAAATTTACATTAGGCTTAAAGTTTTTTGAAAAGAATATTTTTTTTTATCACATTTTTTTTCCCATTTAAAGTTACACACAGACGAAAGTTATTAGGTTTTAAAAATAAAAAATATAGTATTTAGCACATTTTAAACGTAAACAACTTAAAAAATATTTGTTTTCAAGTCATAGTTTTTATATAAATATTGATCAGTATAAAATTTTCTAAAACTTTATTTAGTGATTTTAGTCAATAAACAGTATAAAGAGGTAAAGAGAACGTCATAACAGTTGAAGAAAATATGGATAAAGAGAACGTCATAACAGTTGAAGCTTTTATACAGTTTTTTGTTTATAGAATTTCAGTTTGTTAAGTGCATAAGAGAAAAAAAATGAACGAGATGGTATTAGGTCAATTAAAAATATCATCGCGCCTCATCATTGTTGTTTATAAAAATTTATTAAAAGGATACGGGATGGCATCCAGTTTGCTAGCACTGAATTTGTCAAGGTAATATTATTCCTATTTTAAATTTCGAATAAATGTTAAAAGTTTCGAAAAAAATAAAAAATCAATTTTAATCAAATCTTGTTGATATAATTGTTTTTTCTTTTTGTTGTTGTTTTTAAAAGAAAAAAGTAAAACCAACAAACCCAGTAAAACCAAAAACTTGTTTTGAATAAGGAATCAATTAATTGCCTTAATTGGAACAAAATGGTATCTACGCCAAAACAAATTTATTACCAATAACAATGCAACCAATTAAGTCAAAATATTTTAAATTGAAGTGGGATATCTGTTTGTATTAATCAAATCATAAATATTTTTTTATATTTAAGCCACCTTTGGTTATTAAATATTTATTCAATAAGTGTTCCAATTAAGTTAACTCTCTCCTACTGATATAAAAACTTTGCAATAAATACAGCAAGATTAATCAAGATTAAAGATGTTCAAAAAATGTTAGAGGAGGCTTCAATCCTCCAAAGCAAAACTGATGACAGTGCACTAAACCAACAAGCTATCAACGATATGCGTTTAAGAGAAACACAAACCTAATTATAAATTTCTCAGAAGCTCAAGGTTTGCGGAAAAGGTGCGCATATTTTTTTTCTCTTAAAGCAATTTTGAAAAACAAATTATTATGCGTAAAATTATTGAAATGAACAAAGAATAGGTTTAGAAATTATCTGTGCGGAATAGATAAGCATAGAAATGGTAGGTTTGGTAAGATCCCATATTTTATGGGTCTATAAAGCTAGTATATATATGTATATATATATATATATATATATATATATATATTTGTGTATGTATATATATATATATATATATATATATATATATATATATATATCTATATATATATATATTTGTGTATGTATATATATATATATATATATATATATATATATAAATATATATATATATATGTGTGTATGTATATATATAAATATATATATATATATATATGTATATATATATATATATATATATATATATATATATATATATATATATATATATACATACACAAATCTATATATATATTTGTGTATGTATGTATATATATATATATACATATATATATATATATATATATATATATAGATTTGTGTATGTATATATATATATATATATATATATATACATATATATATATATATATGTATATATATATATATATACATACATACACAAATATATATATATATATATATATATATATATATATATATATATATATATATATATATATATATATATATATATATATATATATATATATATATATATATATATATATATATATATATTTTTATATATATATATTTATATATATATATAAGGAAAAAGTATAGAAAAAGGCAGTTTGCATGCGATGAGGTTCCCATAGGCTTGGCAAAAAAGCAGACGACGCACGGTTACTTATAAACCAGTTACTTATAAACATAGCTAATGGGTGTTGTCCAACGCGTGATCTGTGACGGCTGTTGGGAATAACTATGCAGCATTTTATCAACACTTTCACAAATATTCATAGGATCTAAAACTTATTGGAGAAGACGGTAACCTATACGCAAGTCTTAAAAAGAAATTATACGATGTCAGTTTTGTAATTAAAATGGGACTAATGCTAGATGCTTCGATAAAGCCTCTAAAAAGTTACAAAAATATAAATTAAATTTTCAAAAGTTACAAACCTAATGCACAATAACTTACCAATTTAAAGCACCATATATTTAAATAAACTAAGTGAATATCTTGATGTTTACAACTTGAGCTGCGCATAAACCATAAGCTGTTAGAAGACAGAAAATGATCCAAAAAAACTAAAATACAATAACTTAATTGAATATTTGCAAATTTTTGATAGGTCGCAATGGTTAAAATAAAAATAATGAAGACAAAAATAATCTAGAAAAATGCTTTAGACATATAGACATCAGAGAATCAGGTAAAATTTTGAATATATGAGAAAATACAGCAATCCAATGTTTTGGCGAATACTTTTGACTGAGGACTGTAATTAAGCTCCAAGTTATTTTTAACCTCTGAGCACTGCTATAAATTCCTTAATTGTTTAACAGCTGGATGCGAGCGTTCTTTTTCTTCTATGAATTTAATTCATGGTAGAATAAGAACGCTCACATCTTTTTCTACTATGAATTAAATTCATTATAGAAAATAAATCTTTCTTGCAAAGCACTTTATTAATAAAAACGGTGTCAAGTTTGAGTATTTTTTTATTAGTAGTGCTTAACAATTATAGTTTTATCCGAAGGATTAAATGCATAATTATTTAGAGTGGTTTGGGAAAGTACATCGCGATACTAATATAAGTAAATGTGAAGCCATAAATTTCATTAATAAAAGTTAACAATTTTAATATAACCGACCCCCTTTTGTTGTTTTACTCTAAGGGTTTTACTGTTAGGTTATTACTTTTTATATATATATATATATATATATATATATATATATATATATATATATATATATATATATATATATATATATATATATATATATATTTTATATATATATATATATATATATATATATATATATATATATATATATATATATATAATATAATAAATATATATATAAATATAAATATATATATATATATATATATATATATATATATATATATATATATATATATATATATATATATATATATATATATATTCATACACACACACACACAAACGCACATTGCAAGTAAAGATTAACTCGCAAGTTTTATGAATCATTTGAATAAATCAGTCAGTTTTTATGAAGGGTAACATAATAGACATCACTTCCTAAAATGTAAGAATTTAATTAGACCTGGGTTATGAGGTTTCTTGATCGTTTTATGAAAACTGTTCCAAAAGCATAAGTTTACAGTTAGTAGAATATACACTGTAGACAAACCGAGAGCGGTCACTGTACCAACAAATTTTCTAAAAAAACTTTGCAAAAAAGAAGTAATGTGAGAAGCTGCAGTTAGAGGCGCGGAAGGAAAAAAAACTGCAGCTTTAGTGTATAGTATGAACGCAATAGGTTATAATAGTCCATCTGCATTAATAAATCCACATATAAAGATCCACAATGAGTTCTGGTTGACTCTTCTTCAGATTCGTTAGGCTCAACCAAAAAACTATGATAGATGACACAAAAACTTTTTTTTAAGAGTATCAGAAGCTTTTTTTCAAACACAGGAGATTAACCCACGATGAACCAGTTTCATTGATTCTCGACAATAATTTATCACATGTTAGTCTTGATGACATTAGTTACTGCCGTCTATTCAATATAGTAAAGCTAACTAGGGTTTGACGGTTTTTAAAATCTGATTTTCTAAATAAATTAGTCACATTTGAAAACATTTTAACATTATACTATTGATATACAATAGCGTTTTGTTAAGTTAGTTTAAAAAGCTGTTTACTTTGTTTAACACGCAGCAACTCTTTTGCGGGTATTTGCAAAATCCTGAGAACATTTTCGGCCTAGCAAAAAATCTAGTGTACTCACTTTAGCTTCAAAATCGACTTTACTAATTGTCTAAAAATTTGTTGTCGACTATATTTCAAAATTCTGTTGTGAACACTAACTCAGATCAAGAGGAAATCGAAGAAACTACTCATCCGAGTGAAGCACTCGCGAACGCAAAGGTAATGAAAGCTGAGTTTTTATTATTTTAGACAATGCATAAGAGAACCAAAACCTAAGATTTGTTACAACTTAAAACTATAAAAGCGAGCTCAGTACCATCCCAGCAAAATTTTCATGAATGGTCCTTGCAAAGTAATTATTGGGTTATGATCAGCACTACAGCGTCGATGATGCTGTATATGCCAATGATTGTTTTACTATTTGGCAACACTGTGCCGAATTTTAAATTATTCCCGATCTATTGTCAAATTTAAACCATCTTTGTTTCAAAACAAATGTACACGGTTGTGCAAGCGTAGTTATTATAAAAATTCAAACTTCTTTAAAAACGTCTATTTACTTATAATTTAAAAAGTTTTGCAGAGAGATTATCAGATATAATTTAAGTAAGCAGTTGTGATCGATTATAATAAAAATAGAGTGATATACCAGCTAGAGCGTTTATTAACTGAACTAAATATAAATATTATCTTAACTACATTACTGAAAATAGAATAATAAATGTAATACTATTACAATCTTAACAACTTTATAATAATAACGATATTTTATATTATTTTCATCGTATACTATATATATGTATATAAAGTAACATCGTTACATAAATTACTAAATGCATTTATTTTGTATACATTGAGTTTGTTATGGTATTGTTTATAAACAACACCTTACAAAAATTAATACTTTTTTCTTAAATCTTGAAGAAAAAAATATTATGCTTGATTAGAAAGCATATAAGGAATATACATGTCCAACATAAATATACAGACATTCCTCTGTAGAATTAATAATTTTTGAAATTTCGGTTTTTTTAAAGTTTAACAAAAAAGTTTTTTTTATCTCGTTGTTTTGGTTAGTTATTATTTTATAATACTTTAATTTAGTCAATTAACAAAACTTAAAATTATTAAAGCTTATCTTTTCAAGTTGATTAAATAATTTATTGATTAGTAAAGTTTAGTAAAGTAGTATTGATTAGTAAAGTAATTTATTATTTGTTGAATCTTCATCATATTTTATTAGTATCGTGTTGAACTAGTGACTTGACACAACTACTCTGTTTGTTATTGCATATTTGTTACTTATGTCGAAATGGATCCATTAATTAAAGACGACTGGCTAAGCTGTGAACAATGTTATAACTGGGACGTTGCCCTGTCTTCCACTACTATATATATATATATATATACATATATATATATATATATATATATATATATATATATATATATACATATATATATATATATAAATATATATATATATACATATATATATATATATATATATATATGTATACATATATGTATATATACATATATATATATATATATATATATATATATATATATATATATATATATATATATATATATATATATATATATATATATATATATATATATATATATATATATATATATATGTTGCAACATAAAAAAAACGAAAAGGAAAGTACAACACTTTTACGTTCAAATTATTTGTTGACAGCATAAATGTTATGCTGTAGTAAATTATTTTTTACCTGATCAAAAGATTAAATTTATATTTAATATATAACAAAGGACCATACAGGAGCATTGGGAGCAAATTGGAACTTAAGCATAAAATTAAAAATACATATTTTCGCCTTCAAATTGCTTATATTATTTCCAGAACATTGCGCGATATTGTTCACAAAAAAATTCAAAGATTTTTGATTAACACGGTTGAAAAAATTACAACTGTATTTGTAAAAAATCACATTGACAAATAGCTTTAATAGCAAAAGTTTTTCTCTAAATATCAAAGTCCACGCCGATTCAAGGTCATTTTGATAATTATTTTATTAAAAAAGTTTATGGTTTACTTTGTTAACTATTTATTGGTTAAAAATGGCAATTTGGCTGTCATTCACGACATGCAAAAATAAAATAAATAAGTAAATAAAAATAATAAAAATAAAAAAGTCAATAAAAATAATAAAAAAACCACCGACATTCCACTTTTGTTAACAATATGTTAACATACTTTGTTAACAAAGAAAGGTCATCGAATACGTTTATATACCGCAATCAGTTCGAAGGTTGTGATTCCATTTGCTTGTTGACTTCAATTTTTATATCTTGTCCTTCACGTTATACTGTGTCCAAGTGTTAAAATAATTTGTAATTAGTGAACATTCTGAGTTTAAAACATTTCTTATTTCCAAAAGAGAATAATGTCGAGTACAAGTAAAGAAGGTAATGCTAGCAGAGTGCAAAAATATCGCATGAAAAAGGCGAAGAATTTCAGGAGAGAAAATGCTAGAACAATTGCCATTAAGAAAAATAAGAGACGAAATATGAGTCAAACTGAACTAAAAACAATACGAGAAAATGAAAGGGATCAAAAAAGGAAACAGAGAGAAAGAAAACGGCTAGAAAAAGAAACACCTGATCCAAGTACATTAGAATTTCCGCCATTAAATTTCTATTATCCATATAAATGCCCACAGACTTTTGAAAAAACACTATTGAAAGCAACTAAAAGCTTACCTACATCACCAAACACACGGAGTTCTATTATTAGCGGCTTAGTGGACAAGTATAGTGTCAAAATCAGTGATTTGTCTCACAGAAATTCCACATGTGGTCAAGATGATATCTTAAATGAAAAAGTCAAAAGCTTCTACTTCCGTCCAGATATAGTTTACACTGCTCCTGGGATAAAAGATACCATGGTTTCGTGGAAGTCAGGTAAAAAAGAGACATTGCATAAGTTTTGTCTGACTGTTTTTCTTCGAGAAGCATTTTTTATGTTTAAGGAAGAAAACCCAGATTTAAAAATTGGCTTTACAAAATTCACACAGCTGCGATCGGAAAAATGTGGTTTTATTGAAAGATACACCGAAAGATCAGTGTTGCTGCAAAATTCATGAAAATTTTACCCTAAAACTCAAAGCAATACAAATTAAATATGAAAAATTTTGGCAAAATGTTTTATGTGATCAAACAATGAATTCAATTTGCTGGAAAAATAAATGCTTTTTTTTTGTATGAATTTATTAAAATTTAGTAGTACTGATCCTGAACAGCTATCTCTCACCAATATTTGGAAAGAATGGGATAAAGATGAAGGAGGTCGATTACAGCTGATCTTACGAGAGTCGAAGACAGGTGAACTTTTTGTTCGACTCAAAGTAGACTACCCGCAATTTTCGAATCACGTCAATCCAAAGTGCAGCATTTGAAAAGGACAAAGGTTCAACTAGCGTACAAGTTTTACAAGTGGACTTCACCATGTCATTTGCAACAGAGTACCAGAATGAGATTTAATCTGCATTGTGGTCAAGAACTGGCGTTCTTTTATTTACAGCGACGGTTTTTTAAAAAGGATTTTGCAAAACCTATTTGATTTGTTCTAATAGTCAAAATAAAGACAAGGATACAGTTTTAGTATTTTTTAAACATTTATATTCTCTAATTAAAGATCAAAATTCTGATGAACACGTCCAAAATTTCATCTGGAGCGACGGTCCCTCATCAGAATTTAAAAACAAATACATGGTTAAGTTCCTTAGTTATTTGTACAGCATACAATCAGCAATTTTTTTTGGAAATATACAGTGGGCAAAATAATTGTCCGTACATTAATGAAAGAAAAGGTTTTTTGAAAAAAGCTCTAAAACTTTAAATGATAGAAAAAAATAAATTAAACCAATAGATATCGCACTAGAAAACTAATAAAAACAATACACCATCTTTAATTTTCTCCCAACAATTTAAATTATAATTAACTTATTTAAAAGTTTTAAAAATGTTAAAACCAAAAAATTGTCCGTACATTTGATTTAAAAGGTAAAATTTTGTTTATAAATGATTTTTATATTATTATCTTGTACTTTTAGGTTAAATAATACAATAATAAATAAAAGTAAACCTTTTCTTATCTACGTGGCTATGATGGAAGGAAAAAGAAAAGAATATACTATTGACTTACGTAAACGAGTAATTTTTAATAGGGAAAATGGATTATTAATTAGAAAAGTTGCAAAAATGTTAAAAATACCACCAAGCTCTGTTCAATATATATGGGAAAAGTATTTAAAAACAAAATCAGTGGCAAATAATGGTGTACGAGGCAGAAAAGATCAACAACGCCAAGAGTTGACAGGTGCATAGTTAGGAAAATCGAGCAGAATAGAATAAAAAATGCAGCAGAAGTATCAAAAGAGCTGGAAAATGAATTAAATATTAAACTATCGCCACAAACAATTAGGAACAGACTGCATGAAGCCAATATTTTTGCACGGACGCCTCGGAGAAAACCATTCATCAGCATTGTGAACAAGAGAAAACGCTTGCAGTGGGCAAAGGAACATGTTCTGAAGGATGATACATTCTGGAATATGACTAATCAATCAGACGAGAGTAAATTTAATTTAAATGGAGCTGATGGTGGTGCAAAAAAGTCGGAGAAGAATATAATGTGAAGTGTTTAAAGGCGACATTTAAATTTGGTGGTGGAAATGTTATGGTTTGGGGCTGCATGAGTGCGTCCGGTGTTGGCAAAATTGAATTTATTGATGAGAAAATGGATCAACACTTATATAGATCCATATTAGAACGGAATTTGGTAGCTTCGGCAAGAAAATTAGGACTTGGAACGGAATTTATATTCCAACATGATAACGATCCAAAGCACAAAGCTGGATCTGTAACCAGATATCTTGCTGCAAATGGCATTAACGTGTTGGATTGGGTTGCACAATCGCCCGATTTGAACCCTATAGAATATTTATGGTCGATGGTGGAAAAAAGAATAAAAGATCGAGCTCCAAAGAACAAAAACGAGCTCAAAGAATTGATTTTAGATATTTGGTCATCAATTAATCAAGAAATTACGTCTAAACTCGTCTCATTAATGAAAAATCGTTGTAGAGCAGTTATTGAAGCTGATGGTGGGACAAGCTGATGGTGTATGGACAAATTTTTTTGTTTAAACTTTTAAATCTTTTCAAATAAAATTATATAACTTTTCATGTATTAATATATTTTTAACTAATACACTTAAAATTACTTTATTATAATATTACTTTAAAAACTCTTAATTACAAATATCTAAATACTTTTACAAGTTGTTTTGATCAAATATAGATACTTTTCATTTATGTACAATTATTTTGACAACTGTATATCAAATTTTCATGGGAAAGGTGTGGTTGACGGTGTAGGAGGAAATGTCAAAAGACTTGTAAAACTTGTATGGAATACTGTTGTTACAAAAGACTTGTGAAACTTGTATGGAATACTGTTGCCACATCTGGGGCGGATCTTTTAATGATGCCCTTTCTCTTTTAGACAAGGTGCAAAAACGCATTGTGAACATAGTTGGACCTGCTCTTGCAGCCAGCCTTCAACCTCTGTCACATCGTCGTAATGTTGCTTCTCTTTCTCTTTTCTACAAATACTATAATGGTCACTACTCGAAAGAGCTAGCGTCTCTTGTGCCATCTATTAAAATTCATTCTCGTGTTAATCGTCATTCAATTAAGTCTCAATCTTTTTCTGTTACTGTTCCTAAGTGCTTTAAAAACTCTTATTCGTCTAGTTTTTTTCCTCGAACATCAGTTCTTTGGAATTCGCTTCCTTCATCTTGTTTTCCTGATTCATACAATTTGCAATCTTTTAAGTCGTCTGTCAATCGTTATCTTGTTCTATAATCTTCAGCTTTTCTCTTTCAGTAACTTCCAACACTAATTAGTGGTTGCTTGCAGCCTTGTTGGAAGCGAAGATAATTAAAATAAAAAAACAAACAAAAAAAAAAGCAAAAAATGCTACCTCTGCGAGATGTTGAAGTTCAATCTGCTAAGGATTTTGCTGAATTAGCGTCACAACTAGTAACTTCTACTAAAATTATTTACATTTCTGAAGAAGATATTAAATCGCAGATTGACACTTTTAGACCATGGCAAGATGTCATTCCAATTACCGGCATTTCAAATTTTCATATAATATCTTGTGATTCGAAGACAATTCGAGCTAAAAAGCACGTATTAGATGGCGAAGATCAAGTGTTTTTTTCCAAATAACTATTTTTTAATTCTTATGTTTGAACGCGTCCGTCACGTAACAAAACTGTCCTTCACGTAAGTTTACTATTTACTATATTTTATTAAAAATTGATTATTTTTCAAGAATCAAAAATTAAACTTTTTCTTTCATTAAACTCTATTCTATTAACAATTAAAGAAAAAAAGTTGTATTTTTTTAATAATTCGCTGAATTTTTCAAATGCATTTACTTAATTGAAAATGTGGTATTTTACACGTAATGCGAACAAAAGGTTGCAAAAATCAAGTCATTTCGAAAAGTCAAAGATAGATTTTACTGTATATTTAAGCAACATTTAAATTTTTTTTAACCATAATTTTTTTTGAAAAATCATTATATGGTTCCTTGTATAATTTAGTATTTCATTTCCAAACAGTGTACAAATGTCCTTTACGTAATCATGTTATGCTCCTACTATGATTTTATAAGATACAATATAATGAAGCTAACTTACCACATTTTTGTCTTAAAGCAACAAGTGGCAATATTTGCGTTAAACAATAAAAATTTTTTTGTGAAAAGTATTTTCATTTTGATGAGACTACCTATATTGTGGACATTTTTGAATGAGACTACCTATATTGTAGTCATTTTTAAAGGAACCAAACTTTTTTACTTATTCTTATGAATCAAATTAGATAAGAATATTTTTAGCATCAAAAATAGTGTTTCTTGCTGCATATGTTATAGCTTATTGAATCTTGAAGATTTTATTAATTATCATTTTTGTCTCAAGTGTATTCTTTTAATAATAACAATATCAATATTGTTTGTAATAGTAATAATATTATATTGTTAATTTTTGTAATACATTCCTTATTATATAACTTAATTAAATGACAAGGTAAAAACGCGTTGAGGAATGTCATATAATGTTTTTTAAAAATTTATTTTCGAATTTTAATTTGAATGTAAAATTGTTTGTATGAATGAGTTTTACTTATACGTATAATATCGTTTATATGTATAATTTTGCTGTATAACTTTGTTTTTGTTTTTGCTATTGCTCTAAATTTTAACATTTCTCAAATTTAAGCATTTTTTGATTATCAAACATAATAAAATGATCAATTGTGTAAATAAACTTACTGCTTATAATTACTATCTTAATATAATTAAATTAATATAATTATAATTAAATATAAATACTTTACTTAGCATATAATTTATTCCTATAAGAACCATAAATAAACTTTTGTTTCTGTAAAATAGATAAAAAATAAAATTAGGGGACGGCCATGCTCTTATAAAACCCACAGCATTGCATTAACCAAGCCATTACAAAAATTGAAGATTCCGTAGATGATTGGATTGATTATAATATAACTATTGTGTATAACAAATATTTTCAAGTATATAATTTATTTTGTTTGTTTGTTATTTTAAAGAGTTTTTATACAAGGCAAAAGAAAACTTACCTATGGCAAAAGTTTCTTCAAATTCTTTTCAAACAAGGGTAAAGAACTGAATAATTCAGAAAATTGATTTCAGAAGAGTTTTCGTCCTACCAAGTGATGATCATGATCATGATGATTGTTACGGTGATTATCAATATATAACTATGATGATATGTAATTTAGATAATAGATATCATAGGATGATGTTTGTAAATTCAAGTTTAGAAACTGGCACTCCACAGTTACTAAAAAAACAAAAGAAAGTTGTAAGTAATAAAAGTCAACATATGCTCCAGCCTGCACTACTCCTCCTATAACTTTTTCATCTATTGAAAATTTGACATTTTTAGATCATTTAAAATAAATAACTTTTCAAAACAAGGTTCTCAATCTGAATTTTTGTAATCGAATGTATTATTATACTGTAGACATATATATTTATATTTACAGTATATTAATATATATATATATATATATATATATATATATATATATATATATATAAATATATATATATATATATATATATATATATATATATATATATATATATATATATAAATACAATGTAGAGATTTTGTATATAACTGTAAATTGCATTATTACTTTATATATATGTGTGTATACACACATATATAAGACAAAACACACCCAAGACATATATATATATATATATATATATATATATATATATATATATATATATATATATATATATATATATATTTATATATATATATATATATATATATATATAAAAATATATATATATATATATATATATATATATGTATATATATATATATATATATATATATATATATATATATATATATATATATATATATATATATATATATATTGTAATATCTTATTTTAATTATACAGAACAATATTGAAAAAATTTCTTTTATGTTAGATGTATTGACTGATTATCGTCTCGTTTAGAAACATTTAGATCAATTGCTGTATCTATTAGTCGTTAAGGAAGCGTAACAAGTTGAGTTATATTGAGGTTTTGAATTAAAATCAAATGCTATATTTCGCACAAAAATAAACAACCAATACAATAAGAAGGTAATATAAATGCTATAAAGCACAATCATTAAACATTGTAATGACTGAAGGCAGTTTTCCACAAGACGAAAAATTTGCGCGAAGCGAATTTTTTCGTCGATAAGCATGCGCAGATTAAACATTTTTTGATTTTTTTTTTGCTACAGCGTTTCGCTGCAGCGAAAAAAAAAGTCGGTTTCATTTCGAATTTTTGCGAATCGCTATAAGCGAAAACCTATCAAAGATCAAATATTAATCACGTGATGAAAACAGTTAAAAAAATCAAAAGCACGTTTTTTTTTTTTAAATGGCAGCAACAATAATGAACAACATCAACAACAATGAACAAAATGCTCAACTTATTATTGATTTACTAAAAATTTAACCTGAACATTTGCAAGCCTTTTTAAGTTCATCAAATAAAGATAAAATTCAAAGTTCCGAAAGTTTCACTTCACAAGAAGGTTTATCTTCGTTCAAAGTTGAAACATTTGTTGCTTCATACAGTAACAGTTTTTCCACAGAAGTTTTCCTATCAGAGGTTAGCATTTATTTTTTTAAACATTCTTAAGAAAAATTATATCAAATACTATTTTTGAATAAATTGTATTAAAAAATTATACTTTAATTCAATTATTTACCATATTTTCAGATTAGAAAGTATCCATGTTTGTGGGATGTATCTCACCAGTCATACAAAGATAAAAGTGTTAAAATGAACGCTTGGAAAAAAATTTCCACATCTTTTAAAACAGAAAGTAAGTAAAAATAGTAATTATAGGTTGTAGATAAACATTAGTTGTATATACATACACTTAAATGTTTATTTTTTGTGTGTTTCAGTTGAAGTTTTGCAAAAAAAATTAAAAAACCTAAAAGATACTTTAAAAAAATGCTTCGACAAACGTAATATGATGACTAAATCAGGTGCTGGTGCATCAGCTTTACCTAAATGCTAATACTATGAAGAAATGATATTTTTACATGATAAGAACAACAATATTTCAACTCAAAGTAATTTTGAATTAGAAGAAACTATAACTGAAAATGAAGATCAGATTGCGACTCTAATTGCTGTAAAAGCCAAAAAAAGGAAAATTAACAATGAGGCAGATAAAAAAAAAATGCAAGAACTTTCAAACTTTGATAACGAGCTAAAAAAAGTTATGACTGATAGTCAATGTGAAGACACATTATACTGCCAAAGTTTAGTACCGATATTGAAATCTTTACCGCTTAAAAAAAAAAGACTAGCAAAAATTAAAATATCTCAATTGTTGTATAAGCTTGAATTTGATGAAAAATGTGAATAAAAAATAATTTTTTTGTATTATTTATTTTGTAAACAAAGAAAAATATCGGTTCTAAATTTAAAACTTTTAGTCTTTTTGATAAGAAGTATTGTTTATTAATGACCATTGCCAATCAACTGCCCCGTCAGTATTAAAATATTTTTTGAAGTTGTTTCTAATTTTTCGAGCATCTTTAGAATGATTATTACAAGCAGAATTTGAAATATCTTGTAATCCTTGTACATCGCCGATTTCTTTTCTCCATTCGCCAGGTATTAATTCATTTTGACCATCCTGATCAATATAAGTATTTGGACAATAATCATAATTAAGACTTTCCTTCCTTTTTGACATTAAAAAATTGTGAAGTGCGACAACAGCTTTTGTTATAAGCACGACTTTTTTTGTTGAAGCAATAAAAGATCTTCTGAAAATCCGAAATCTGGATGCAGCTATACCAAATGCATTCTCAACTATTCTCCTGACACGCGACAATCTGTAGTTAAATATTCTTTTTTTGTACGAAAGATTACAAAATGGATAAGGTTTCATCATTTGAGGCTTTAAACCAAATGCATTATCTCCAACAAACACGTAGGGCAATATTGTTTCAGTACCATTTACTTTACATGCTTGAGGAATGTCAAGCAGATCATTTTCAATAGCATAACCAAGTTGACTATTTGCATATACACTACCGTCACTTTGTCTTCCACTATTTCCTATATCTAGCAGTGAAAATTGATATTTTGCATTGCACACAGCCAAAAGAACAATACTATGTGTCTTTTTATAGTTATAAAACGATGAGCCAGACATGCAGGAGCTTGCATAACTACATGCTTTCCATCAATAGCACCTAAGCAATGGGGAAAATTCCATTTGTTCTCGAAGTCAGTAGCTATTTTTTTCCAATTTTTTTCAGAAGATGGTGGATCTATGTATTTCTTTTTAAAAAGTGATATCCATATGGCTCTACATGTTTCACTTTTTATTCTTCCGACAACTGAAGGACTCAAGCGGTAGTTCATAGCTATTGTTGTCTGTGCGTCTGTGTGTTACCAAAAAACGCATTGTAACACAAAATCTTTCTGGAGCAGATATACAATCTCTCATATGTGTAGATTTTTTTCTTATCAATGGACACACCCAAGACAAAAGTTCTTCTAATATTGTTGGAGACATACGAAAATAACGAAAAAATAGTTCGTGGTCAAACAATTTTAAATCTTTAACAAGAAGATTATATTCTCCTTTCTGTTTACGATCTAAATAAAATTTTCTTATCCAAAATCGTTTTTTATACTTTTTTTGCGATTTGTTTCTTATATGCAATAAAAACTTTAAATAAAGCAATTTCTTTTTTAAAAGCATGCAGCGTAAATTTATAGCTGCCAGTATTTATTATTAAGTAGCGCGAAAAAAGTATCGCGAAAATGTGGAAATCAAAACGGCGTTTCGTCATGACGAAAAAATTCGCTTCGCGCGAATATTTCGTCTTGTGGAAAACGGCCTTGACAGGACATTTAGTTATAGTTGTAAGGAATTTAGTTACAATGATAAAGATTACACAATAAGTTTACATTAGTGATAATAACTTAACATTGATAATAATTAATGAATTGTATTTGCATGAAATAATACTAATAGGATATATAGTAGTGACATGCATTCATTTATGTTTATATCTTCAAATATATAGGGTCTGAAGTTTAAAAAAGATTATCTTGGTTTAAGATCCAGTTACACATGGAACAAAGAAAATTGTATACTTGATCTTAACGATATACCTTCCAATCAAATTTTACCAGTTTAGCTACTAGACATAATCTTTCAAAAAAAGGAAGGTTAGTAATTTTTTGTTACATTAAAATGTGTTATTTAATTATATTAGTTAGTTAAATGTACTTTAAAAAAAATTACGGGCATGTATATGCAAAAGGTGAATTGTTTTTATATTGCCTGATCCTCCCTATATGTTCTAGATAAAAAGTAAGTACTGCATTAAAATTGTAATATTTTAACCACTTTTAAAAATAAATAATATATAAGAGGAGAAATGCACAACTGGAACACTTTAGAAATAAATATATATTAACCAAAGACGACTAACTATGAAATCATTATTTGATTAATGTAAACAGACAAGCCTACTATACTTTTACCTATAATTTGACTTAATTGATTGCACTGTTATTGGAAATAAATTTGTTTTTGAAAGCTACCATTTTGTGTCAATCAAGACAAAATTCCTAAATTGGAACACTTTGATTCCTTATTCGGAACAGGTTGTTTGTTTTTGTTTTTAAATGAACAAAAATTGATTTAAAACGACTTTAATTCTTACAGTGAAAATTTAAACAGTTTATTAAAATTTATAATAGAATTAATATTACCCTGACAAACTGAAAATCTACAAACAAAAAATTGTATTAAACTTTCAACTATCATGACGTTCTTGACGTTTTCTCTTGATGTTTTTATTATTATTATTATTATTAATATTATTATAAAAATATAAGTCTTACAACAACACCCAGCTAAACTGTAAGAAAAACATTCGCTTTATTATATTTACGTACTTCTTAAGCCATACCATTACCACCACATTGTAACTTAATACTCACCTTATCATCACACGTCACTATAATTCACCATCGAAAGCACCTTATACCATTCTTACACATACATGTTTAGAACTTATTGAGTTCAAACACACCGGACGACATATCCCTCACACAAGACGTTCTCGTAAACGAAGATAAATTAGAGTTACACATATTTAAGCAGAGTACCACCCTAGCACTCAAAGACAAAAAAGGAGACAGAACATGTATGTACTTTGTTTGTGTATTTCCTTTATGTATGTCTGCATACATATAAGCATACATCTGTATATAAACTTACTTTTTTACACCCTACCCTTTTACTCTCTTGGCCTTATTAACCGACAATTAAATATATAGATGTATGTATAGACCTTTGCTTTATACATGGTAGTATTCATACAGATATATTTGTGTGTGGATATACATGTGTACATAAATTTATAATAGGATCCATCCTCTCGCACCCAACCCCCTCTATTTCACTCCGTAACCTGTTTAATTTGTTCTAGGCGTAATGGTACTCAAACAGGTATATTCGTATTTGCATGTGCATATGTTTGCCTATTTGAATGCGCATACGCATAAGCATGTATGTGTACATATGTTTAGGCATTAGATGCGCATATGCATGTATGTGAACATATCTTTATGCATTAGATGTGTTTACATGTGTATGTAGAAATGTTTTCTTGAATGCATGTGTGCACAGCTACGAACAAGATCCGGTTTAAAAACGGTGAAGGTGATCCAGAATGATAAATAGCATTTTTAGATCATACTTAATTGCCATGATGTATCATTTCTTATTTTCATTTGATATAGGGGAAACCATCTCATTTTGTTTTCTATACTAGCTTTATTCTTATAAAAATATGTTAATTTAATAAAAATGTTAATAAAAATCTTAATTTTCTTCTTATTTTATCCATAGGAACAGTAAATCGCGGTGGTTTACAAGCAGCTCTTAAAGAAGCATTTTGTAATGCCACCGCTATAAAACTAATCTGCGTGTTTGATGTATGGAAAACTGCTTAGTAGATCATGAATAACAAAGCTGTTTGTATCAGCAGAGGAAGGAATTTTTAATCATAACACTGGTATTCAGGTAGTAAAAGACGTTATGGAGACAATTAGGGATTGGAAATCTGATCCAGCTTTTACCGCTTAGTAAAACTACTGGTTTTTTTGGTAATACACTATAATTAAATGTTTTAGAAACAATTTTGAACAAAATTGTTTAAAAACAATTTTGTGCTGCATTGATGACCAGATTATTAAGATGACTTCAGCTTGTCTTCATGAAGTATAGGATGTCTTGATACGACAGTATAAAGGTACTTTTCTCTTGCTATTACGGAGACACCTTTACAAAATAGAAAGACAAAATAGAAGAGGTTATGGATATGTTTAGAAAAGCGAAAGCGAGATACCCTTACGCAAAAGTTTACTATATATCTGGCAAATTTAGATAAAATAAGAATCTAACTATTCAGTTTCTTAATAATTTAGACCAACTAACTAGAAAAAATTGTGCCCTTTTCCAAAGAGAAAAAGTGGCCATTTTCCAAAGCACGTAATGAAAGAAAGAAAATTCAAATATAAGACGCTCAAATTCGTTGAGATATCTATAAAAAACAGACCTACAAACGCTTTTACTAAAACGTCAGGGTTTGGGCTAGGGTTAAGTGTGACTAAAAATTATTATTTATTATTTTTAGATTTTTATTTCTATTCCGATTTTAATTTCATTTCGAAATTTTTTTTTTTTATAAATTTGTTTGGGAGGGGGCAAATACCATATCCAAAAAGGAAATGAACACAACAAAGATGATTTGTAGCATGTTATTAATAATATCTATATTATAATAATATCTTTATAATTATTATTTTATATCTACACAAAGATGAAAGTAAAGCTTTTAGTTAATAAATAATTTTTCCACACTTTATAACGATACAAATGATTTTAAATTGCATTATTCTTTTATTTCAGTTTAAAGAAATATGTATTTAAGGAAAAAAATGGCGGAGCAACCCATTCTGGTAACACCAAGCGACACGAGTTATAATAATTGCATTTAAATTTTGTTTTGAAAACTTTGACGCACAGTGAAAGCAATTAAATTTTTATTTGGTCGTGGTCAAAGACGGAGGGGGAGGACCATACGCCATTTGCAAATATATGTCAACTTATACAACGCTGTTTTATGTTTTAATCAAGTATAATATTAGTTTTATTTGTAATAAGAGTTATGAATAATATATATATATATATATATATATATATATATATATATATATATATATATATATATATATATATATACATATATATAAATATATATATATATATATATATATATATATATACATATATATATACATATATATATATATATATATATATATATATATATATATATATTTATATATATATATATATATATATATATATATATATATATATATATATATATATATATATATATATATAATTTTATTTATACACGGGTGTATTAAACATCTTCACATCTGTCCCAACTACAAGACTACATGAACAATAACAACTTTCTGTATAAAAATCCTACTAATTCATTTAAATACACACTTTTTTGGATGAAATTTGCATTTATTGGATGGTTTTATGGCGGTGGTTTAGTGCCCCCGATATCTCGCTGAAAACGCTCATTGATTAGAAACCAACGTAAACACATAGTCTTTTTCTTCACCTATCTTTTGATACCAAGATAGACCACAGTTTCTTCATCTAATAAACGTTTATCGAAAAATCGCTACTCAAAACGTCATAGCTTTAGATAGGTATGTTGGATTTTAATAATTTTTAATTAGAATAATTATTCATTAAAATAATTTTTAATTGAAAAAAATATGTAGCAGCTCTTCCTAATTATATATAACAATTCAGTGTGTAATCAATTTAAAATGTTTGTCACAAAGCTAATGTATATATTTTGTAGATTAAATTGTAAATATATATATATGTATATATATATATATATATATATATATATATATATATATATATATATATATATATATATACATATATATATATATATATATATATATATATATATATATATATATATACATATATATATATATATATATATATATATATATATATATATATATATATATATATATATATATATATATATATATATATATATATATATTTATATATATACATGTATTTATACATGTATTTATATAAATTTTTACACAGCCTTATCTGAGTCAACTGTCATAATATAATTAACATATATTTGAAAACTCATTTAACATTTTTGGTCATAATAGTGTTTTACTATTTTACGTAGTACACAATCAGCATACTATTAGTAGATGAGCTGCTTTAAAGTTTTTTCTTCCACTTATTAATTGAAACTATAATTTAACAATATCAATTAATGTGTTATTTATAAAAATTAATTTAAACACTTGCAACAAATTTCTACACTTTTCAAAAAAAGTGTTTAAACATCATAGTGTGTCTAAAGATTGGAGGCATGTATTTGCAACAATTATGTTGATCAAAATGTCTTTAACATCCAAACTTATTTTTTTTTTTTACATATCTACTGCAATTTCTCAAGTTGCTAATTGCCTATGGAAGTTAATTTCGTTTCAGCTTGTGTGAGTTTAGATTTGAAGCGTTTGATTGTCAAGAGGATCACCTCAAGACAAAAGATTATAATTAGAGTGATATAGTATTGTTATTTCATAATTTTAAATTGTAATGAATAAAGCCTGAAAGAGGGTCAACTGTCCAAGACCGTATTTATCGCGTCTCTATCAAATTGGCAGTCACGTGTTGCAAAAAAAAACAAAAAAAATTGAAAATATATACAAGCATAAGTTTATACTTGGAAAGGCTGCTTAAAAGTGAGTTAAACTCAGATTACTGTGAACATGTTTAAGTAAATAGCGGTCTAAATGGTTGTAACTAAATTAGGTCATTGTGTTCGATATAAAGACATAAACAGGTTAATTTGCAGATTTAAAATGAAAATCGTTTTGTTAATTATGATTATTTAAAACACAAAAATTCATGAAAAACTTCTACAAAATTAACTAGAAATAACAAAAAAATAGTTTAATTAAACATGGTGAAGAATGGATAGGTGATTATTTAACTTTTCTGCATGACACTGCTGCCATGCCGTACTCTACGCTAACAATAAGCCCGATTCAGAGAAAAGTTAACATAAATTCATAAAAGATGTCTAGATCTAAACCCGATTGAATATCATTGTGGTGAAAATACGTTTATCATGAGTAACTAAATTCTAAACAATTGAAATCCACATAAGTATGGAAAACTTGTATGAGAGTAACTAAAACAAAAGAATGCGGAGAAGACAATAGGACTAAACCCACGAATACTACTACTTTGCGAAGAATTGGTTGGCAAGTTCACTTATAATGTTTTCGAATCAAAACCAATGCAGGAATTTTTTTAAACTAAATAATTTTCTATTACACTTAGACAACAAATCAAAATCTTATTAAATCAAAATATTTTCACTTTAATCATACTGTATATTCAATCGTGCGGTACATTTACAGACAGTTATAATCTGATGACGTTTAAAGACCTAAACTTGTATGTATAACAGTATAATAATAATAATAACAATAGATAAATAATAACAACAATAATGATGACAATATTATTTAAAGCCCCTTCGTACACCATGAGTACCAACATACACAATTCATTTTGTTCATTTTTTAACAATAAAACTTTAGCAAAACAATAATTGAAACACGATGTGTACATTTGCACACCAGTCTTATTTTACATTTTAATAAAATTAATATTTTAATAAAATTTTACATACCCTATATGGTCTAGTACATTTGTTTTAACAAAAAATATAATTTTTCGAACACATTCTATGTGCCCGTGTACGAAGGGAATAGTAATGTAAAGCAGTCTAATTATATATACTTCACTATCTGAAATAAAACACTTGTAGCAAAAAGTGATTTTTATTAATAATAATGCAAAATAAATATAAAAATCCTAATAGCAATAAAAAAAAATAAAACAGATAAAAAGAAGAAAACAAATGGATAAATTTTTAATTACAAAGAAAGGAGAGACGAAGTAGTTCTAACAGAATTTGTAAGCATAGAATGTTAGAAAACGGTAGAAATATTGAATATGCATTTAAAGTAAGAAGAAGTAAAATAGAAAAAAATAATTAAATAAAAAAAATATGGTTAACGAGAATTTAGGAGGGGCGAATGCATAAGGAATAGTTTATTGTTTATTAATTACATGTTAAATGGTCTAATAACAATCCCACAATCTTTAAGAGCTATATACACTTTATTAGGATATTTAATTCTTTTTAAATGTTTACTTTTCTTGTTACTTTCACTTTCCATAATCTGGAAAGTTCTGTATTTTGTATAATAGACCCATAAAATTATTACTCATAGAAACCAGATAAAAATCTACAAAAAAAAATATTATCTAAATTATATTAATGCATCCAATAAAGATTTTTCTTCGTTGTAGAACCTGCTCAAGATGTCTAGTTGCACAATAGAATTAAATGGCAATGATATATTGTCAGGTAATGCAACAGTAACCTCTGATGAGCCAACAACCTTCAATATCATTTTCTGCTGCTTAAGACATATATCTATTTTTTGTGCAATTATTGTGAGACGAGCAAATATTGAATGTAGTAAGGTTTAAAGATCGTCTGAAAAAGATTACATTTACAATGAAGAAAATTGTTTAAGTTGTTAAATATCTCTAGTAAATCTTATCCTACACAGTAAACACTAAATTCAGTAAGACGAACACTGAGTGACAACAAAATAATATTACCAATGTTTTCAAATGCTGAAAACAGCTCACTGCTATTACAAATTAAATACCTTAGTTATTACTAGTTTCCGATTGCAATGATGTGTTCACTTTGATGAATGGCCATGGCTAATGGCTCATAACCAGTTTCATCTTCTTGAAAGCACATAGTAAATACACTAAAAGCATTACACAGCAGGTAAAACATTTTCTATTGTATTTACATCTTAAAAACATAAAGAAATAAAATTAATTTACCTTGCAACATTAACAAACCAGCTGTCATTCACGGCATAAGCAAGTTTTTACAACGTTGGTCACTCTCAGTACTTACTAAAAGTACATTATTCATTAAAAAGTTCAAAAAAAGTCTCAAAAAATAGTTTTTTTATCTTTTAATATCTTGCAAAGGCATTCTCTGTCATAATAAATCAACTGTTTGTTGCAATTCCTATGTTGCAACTGATCAATACCTTATATAACAATAAATATATAAATTGTTACGCTATTATATGACTAATACAGCTGTTTCATTAATATCAATTTTATTTATACATATAAAACTATATATATTAGGCTATTTAGAGCAATTAGAATTACATAAAAATTAACTAAGCAATGAGAATTGTAAACAAAAAAGAACAGACATTTTATTAAATATAAATACCTGAATTCAATGTTCCTAACTTTTCATGTTTCTTTTTGTCGGTTGTATTTTGTATGCTATAGTTTGTTTGTATGTTAAAGTGTGTATAGTATGTAGTTGTTTTGTATGTTATAGTATATATAGTATAGTTGGCGTCTTGGGTTCTTGTCAGACATGTTTCTTGCCATGACTCATGGCTCTTGCCAGACATGATCACTATAACAATTATAGATCAATTAAAACAATAAATCCTTAAGTTATCTACAATTCATGATTCAAAATCTAATCAGATAATACAATTTCTTAACTGTGCTAATTTCACTCTACCCATAAGTGTTTTTCAAAATACATTTAAAAAATATAGGAATTAATGGCAATGCTTTCGACTTTTTTTTTTTTTTATCCGAATCCAAGTTTGACTGGTATTCTACAGATTTTATGTGTTTCCGAGCTGCTTCTAGAGTGCCTTAACAGTAAAAAAATGTTTTATCACTTAAATAAAAAACTCAAATACTAGGTGTTAAATAATAAAAGAAAAGTCATTTTCTTAATCTCATTAATTGGACAGTGTAATAAATTATTAAACTTAAAATGTTTTATAAGTTTCTGGTAGTCAACATTGAACACCAGGAACAAATTTTGGCAAATTGCAATAGTTATTCCTACCAGCCAACAAGTAATCATTCTATATCACACCCTGCAATAATAATAATAATAATAATCGTTAACAATTATTTTCAACAAAATTATTGTTGGAGAATCACTATATTCAGACTATTTATACAAAATTCAGACTATTAAAACAAAAATGATAGAAGTATATTGATATACCCTACATATATTTGTATACAATTTAAACAGTATATCAATTTTTTTTTTTTTTTTTTTTTTTTTTTCAACTATAATTATACTGAAAACTAATATAACTTACTTGGTACTTTATTGATATCGAAAAATATTGACAACCTAATATAAAAATTTAGAAGTGTTTGACCGAATCAAAAAATAACCAAGAAAATAATTTACCTAAATAAATTGCCTAAAAAGACTATGATGCTGATGAAAGAGCTAAATAAAAAAACATTTAAAAAAGGTAGTTTAATCCTGATTATAATGTTCAAATAAACAGTATTTATTACTTGTCTTTTTTCAAGTTACAAATCGAAATAAAATGTTTCTCAATAAACAATCAAAAAAAACGTATCAAGTTACCAGAAGTGGCGGATAAAACAGTTAAAACAACTAAATGAGAAAAATATATTCATTTTAAAAGTATATTTTGTTAATTCCTGAAGATAATGTTCTAATAATGAATGTTTATTGCTAGTTTTTCTAGAAAAAAACCAAAATAAACGTATTATGTTACTTGGGATAGGCGATGCTGCAGATAAAACAACTAAATGAATGAATAAATCAGTAAAGATAATTTATAAAGCATGATGATAATAAACATTTTTTTATTGTTAAAAATTAAATGTATAAAATAATCTGGGGAGGTTGATGCTTCAGAACAAATAACTAAATAAAAAAATAAAACAAGCTATTTTGGTAATGTATGAATAAACAATAATTCAATGTTCTTGTTTAATAAAATGAAAGACATCACCATTTGTAAAAGTTGCTGAAACAATACCGAAATGAAAAAAAAAAACAAAAATAATCTTTAATAAAAACGTATTTGTTAATTTAATAACGTCGTTATTATTAAAGTTCGAAAACAATAACTATTAGAGAAAATGGCATTCCTACTTTGAACTAATCTAATAATTTAGTTCATAAATAATAAAACATACTTATTTCGCTGACAACTTGCCTCTCTAAAAAATCCTTCTTCAAACAAAAAATAATTTATAAATAACAAAGTGAATTATATTTACTAAATAGGTCTTCCAATGCTCCGAACTGTTCTGAAACAATAGTTGTTCTAAAAACAATCACTGTTATAAAAATATAATGTACTAAAAAAACTACTTTACCAATCATTTTTATTTTCGAAAAACTTCTGCTAAAGAAAGAAAAAACAAAATGAAAATAATCCAGAACAAAACATTGATAAATAAATGAGTCATCGCCAGATTTGAAAATAGATATGATCTAAGCAATTTTTAATTTCTCTGGTACAATTGTACAGATTGGTACAGGTGACAGATAAAAAACGTAAAACAGTGACGGTTCATTAATATCAAACACTGCTTTAACAACATTCACGCTAATATGATCTATGCTAGGACATTTTATTATTTTTTAGACAGTTAAATATATATATACATATGTAAAAAGTATATATAAATTAATAAAATTAAATTTTTATAAACACCCTCCCCTCTCCCCCCCCCCCCCCCTCATTTAAATTCTCAGAGAACTGACAAAAAATATAACAAGGTGTGCAGTACACAGGATGTGGTGTATATTTATGGGTGTTGGTGTCCATATACATAAAGAAAGTAAATATGGTGCGAAAGAAAATATAATAATTGATATTAAACAAGAATAAATAAAGTTTGTGAGATAGTAAGTAAATAAATACATTAGATTTTTAACTGTTAATTGCATCATCAAAGTGGATTTCCCAATTGAGTTGTCTAGAAATGTAGAATAATCAACTTAGTAAGCCGTAAACTGCATGGTTAGGTCAACCATTTTGTTTTTGCTCCATATTTGTTGTATACTTGGATTTCTACCTCTTTAAATGAAGTGTATAAAATTATCTTAATCATCTTAAAACATTTAAGAAATATGCGTTCAAGTTGCCATACTTAAATATCCAGTTATTTCAACCTGTACTTTGTTACACATTTGGATAACAACATTGTTTCTAATTGGCTAATGTTCATCATCATTTCCAGTTATGATAAAAGAAACTGCTTTAAAAAAAGTAGTCTTTGTTTTCTTTAACTCTATGGATTTTCTTATCACAGAGTTAGGTTAATGTTTCCTTCCGCAATATTGTATTTTTTAACAACTCCAAAAAATTTTCTGCAATTTTTTTTCTCATATCAAAAGTTCTACATTTTGCTATTCTTTTATTTGCACTGTTTTCATTTTGAGTATTATCGTACGTTTGCTTGATTCGACGTATTTTTTATTTGGTCTAGTTTTGACATTATCATTATTTGATAATTATGTGAATATATGTGCTACTGGATTAATAGATTACAAATAATTCAATATTTTTGTTTAAATACTCGCTTCTTTATTGCTTTTCAAGAAACCGCAGTTATTAAAACATTTAAAAGTATTCAAAAAATACAACGTGGCTTAATTGCTAAAATACATTTTGCCGCAAAGCATTTTATGGGAGTAAAAATATCAAAATGGGAGTAAAAATTTAATATAAGATTTTTACTGAGTAAAAAAAAACGCGGAGTGAAAATTAATTTCTTGTGAATTTTCTTTTTATTTTTGCTAATGCACTTTTATCATATTGATCAAAAATGTGCTTGACGATTGTGCTAGACGATTTCTCATCATTAACGGTCATCTGTCCAGAAATCACGCCAATAAAAATAGACCGGGCTAAGTCAGTGTATATAATAGTCGGTAGCTTCTGTATTCTCAAAATTGAAAATAAACCAACTACCATTTTTAATATTTAAAGAATTAATCTCTCGTTTTTTACACAACGACAATTGCCTTTGTAATAAAGAAATTCCATTAAAATCTAAGGAAATCAATATTATTACGATTGATTTTAATAAAATTTCAAAATGTAATAATTCCAAAATATTTTTTCTAAGGTTTCTCTTTTACTTAATCATAAATATAAAACAACACACTTAATAACTGATTACTACGGAAAAGGTACCATTTATGGCAAACTTAACTTTGAAGCTTCATTATTCAATACACTGACCGCTAAAAAGGTTCTGATATGAATACATTTCCTGTAAAATGTAAATTAATAACTCTCGGAATTTTTTTATAAGGTATTTCTACTTTTAAACAAGCACAAGTATACCGTCATAGGTTATCACGTTTATATGATGGAATAGGGGAGAACGAGACTTTTTAGCATCAAGGGAAACTTAAAAATTTCATTTAATCATAGAGCCTCCTCTCAGAAATGCCAGAAGTTAAGCCGAATCATTGTAGAGTTTTCGCGCATAGGCATAAAAGATGTTGTGTGTTGTTTATTTTATGGACCAAAAATATTTTTCAATATTTCAACACCCCTAACTTTGTAAGTCAGGATGCCATTATAGGAAAAAGTTATTGTTCTTATTAAAACAAGCTGTGTCTGACATATTCAAAAGATAAAATTAAAATAAGTATTCCACTAAATGCACAATTCTTAGATTTAAAATGCAAGTTTTATTTCTGCACAGATAATAATAAAACACAATCTTAAATATAAATAAGGATTAAAACTACAACAACACATCCCAAAATCGATTTTTGTTGATTATAAAAGCAATATTTGGGCATATCTATATGTACCATATATAACCATTATTAAAATATGAATATAATTGAGGCACAGTTTTGCTAACAACCTTTTATTTATCTTTGAAAATAAAGGTGAAAGTTTCTTTTATATTTGCAAAAATAAAATTTAGAATAATTTTAGAAATAAAAACTCTTATTTCTTTACAGTAGTAATGAGAAAATAAAGATCTTACCGTTTTCAAGATCAATTGAATGTATACCAACTTTTATAATTTCAAGTAATGCTGGTGCTGCTTGGCATACGTTTTGATTGATGGCTTAACTGTGTTCCATATGTTGATAGAAATGCTCTCTGTCTTGAGGTGATAAATCCATCATTGCAAGTAAAGTGCTTACTCTACGACGATTAGATGTTGCTGTTTATTTGGATTTTTTAGTTTGATTTTAATTTTCATGCATATGTCATGCCAACCTTAAACATGGTTTGAACTATTTTTTGTACTGGGGAAAAGATATTGATTGTTTTCCAAAATTCTTTCCTAACTCTAAATCAGACAGTTTTTAAAGGACTGGAATCGAATCCAACGTAATTAATTCTGTCACGTAATGGTTGTTTCCCTAAAATAAGAAAACTAAATAAGTTAAAGAAACAGACAAAAAATTTTAAAATTAGTTTTTTATGTTAATTTATATTTGTTTATTTGCTCTACTAGATTCTAGATACTAGATGCTCTAGATTCTACTTAATGACACATGATTATTTTGTTTATTATTGATTGTTTTGTTTTTTTATAAACTTAATTATATTATTTCACAGAAAAATCACCTTAAAAACCACTTTATAAACTAAGTTTTTAAATATTTTACTGGATCTTTAGTTTTTATTAATTCTTTCATTGCTTTTTAGTATTTGCTTATGTATTTATATATTGTAAAATTTTATAACTATTAATTATTAAAATTAATGGAAAAATAATTATAACTTCTATATTGTTTATTTTAGATCCTTTGTCAAGTATTTTTATCTACCTTTCCAGTCATATGCAACTTGTAATGAATTTGCTAATTTCTTATCTAGTTCATCTAGTTTCTTAATGTGTTGCGGTTGAATGAATCCATGCACATTTTCTGCATCTTTCTAGTCTTTTAACAGCAGCCTTTAGTTTATGTAGACAATTTCCATATATACATATTGAAAGTGATTATATATAAATGTATATATATATTTATATATAAATATTTGTATATATTTATATATATATATATATATATATATATATATATATATATATATATATATATATATATAAATATTTGTATATATATATATTTATATATATATAAATATTTGTATATATATATTTATATATATATATATATATATATATATATTTATATTTATTTTAAGACCTCAGGACTCTCAGGAGCAAAATCTTTTACTGACTGTTATATTTAATTTTGAAAATTTGTTGCATTTTGTAGTTTAATGATTTGTGTATCATATGAAGGAGAAAATGATTAAAATTTTTTTCTAACATTGTCAGCTGACTCTTTTGAAGGACGCTTAACTATAATGCTCTTTCAGAAATTGGTTTAATTTCAAATTTTTTATGCGTACTTGGTACAATTCATGAATATAATTTGCTAGAACATTTTGGCTTCGTCACCTCACTGAAGACTGCTGCCTCATGCTGCATGATTACAGCTACCTAACAATCCTGCAGTGCATGAACAATATGCACAAGCAATCTCTCCTCCAGGACTTTCTTTTTTTATTGCTTCCCAAACATACGGGATGGAGGAAGTCCTTTGTGAAGGTGTCACCTTGCATTTATCAACACAGTAGGTGGAATTTTCATTAATACCTGTTCATAAAATTGCAGGCAAAATAGCAAAAAAATTTTCCTTCTTTATATTCACATTCGAATCTATGTAATAAATCTTGATCAATGTAAACTTGTTTCGAATAATTTACAACATCATAATAATAAAATGGGGCCAATAGTGCATTCCGTTTTGATTTTCAGATATCCATTTAGTATTTTTTATGGTCAGTAGATCAGGAAATGTTTCATTATTAATGATTAACTTTTTTCTACATCCATTTAACCCTATGTTTTTATATCCGTTTAACCCTATTATCCGCTAACCCTATGTTGCTCTTCAGCTTCAATATATACTGGAACCTTTTGTTCCCAAGCTGTCATTGCCCTATAGAAACAATAAAGAAAATTAGTTTAGTTACATCCAAGATATCGTTATTTTTAACAATATTAAATAGATTGCATCAGTACTAATTGTATGTATGTTTTTCTTTATTATAATATAAAATATGAATATAATTTATATATTCCTTGAGCATGAGAAATAAAAACTTTGTTTTCATGCTTTCTAATATTGAGGAAAATGGAAATAATGCTGATAAATAAATGTATTAAAAAGCTCTTATTTACCCACTAATGTTTCTTAATCACCTCCATATGGTTTTTTTCTCCAGCTCAAAAATACTCTCAGGGCTTCAACAGACAAAATTTTAAAATCCTGTATGGTCATTTGATTTTAAAAAGTAGTAACTTCGAAAACCATCTATCTAAAAACCTGTATAATATATATTTAAAAAATGCCTTTAGTTTAATCACTTGGATTTGTTTACCTCCGCTAGACTTGCGCCTGTCAATTGACATGCGTGCGCAGACATTTGTATTCAGAGAATCGTTTAATTAAATTTATGGTTTTTTTTTTTTATTTAAATTATTATTATCATAACTATTAA